TAATTTTATTTTATTTGGTTATCTATATTTTTTTCTATCACTTTCACAAATAGTATTCTTATAATTAACCTTAATTTTTATAATACCACACAATATAACTTTTGAAATAAATATATTTCATAATATATTTTTGCCTTCTTTTTTTTTCACTCCATATAATTATTTTCATACATTAAATACTAAATAAAATCCATATATGACTCCCAAAAGAAGGGAGTATATGTAAGAAATAATTCTTAAATGAAACAAATATGATAATTAACAAATCTCCCGCCTATTAAAATTTAAATTTGTCATTGAGATTTTTTCTTCAAGTAATCTGTGGTTGGAACACTGGGAGGATGTTGCTAAATGTTGCAACCTTAGAAGATGTCGCCAACCCTGGTACTTTAGGAAGAAGTTGTCAAACCCTTACTCCCAAATAACGATGGTGTATTCTAAATTTTCGAGAGTAGGTTTAGTAACTCGTATGTGATAGTATTTATAATTAAAAAGAAAAACCGTCCATCATGATTTTTCTGCCACTTCTCACGTATATTTTGAATTTGATGGACTTAATGGGAAAAAAGTGAGCCACAATTTAGAGTTAGTTTAATAATATAAGATAATATAAAATTAATTAAATTTAAATATGATTAATAAATTAATTAAACTAACATTCTTCCATTTGACCCACTCAAACCATCACAACATAACGAGAAACTTTACATATGAATCATGACGGTAGGTCTTTTATAAACAAATGTTACTTTTCATGCATCACGATATGTCAAACATCTCAAACTAAATTCAAAACTTAATGAATAAATCTTATATTTATTTCAGGTTAAACTTAAGCGAGTTTTCTTAATAATAAACAAATATGTGCACAATAACGCGATAAAACATCAAACTAAATAAGAGTTTCAAATAACAATGTGCGCAAATAAACTACATTGTAGAATCAAGTCCCATACTTGCTACGTGATCCCTGAAATTCTTTAGTGGCATGCCTTTAGTCAAGGGATCAGCAAGCATCAGCTTTGTACTAACGTGTTCAATGACCATTTTATTTTCCTTGACGGGTTCTCTTAAGGCTAAATACTTGATATCGATGTGTTTACTTCGACTCTCACTCTTATTGATTTTACCCATAAACACCGCAACAGAGTTGTCACAGTACAACTTGATCAATCTAGAAATAGAGTCAACGACTCTAAGCTCGGATATAAAACTCTTCAACCATACACCATGCGAGCTAGCCTCGAAACATAAAACAAACTCAGCCTCCATAGTGGAAGTAGTAGTGATAGATTGCTTCGCACTTCTCCAAGAGATAGCTCCACAAGACAACATGAACACATAACCTGATGTGGATTTTCGAGTGTCAATGCAACCAGCGTAGTCCGAATCGGAGTAGCCAATCACTTCCAAGACATTAGTTTGTCTATACATGAGCATGTAATCCTTCGTACCTTAAAGGTACTTCATCATTTTCTTTGCAGCTATCCAGTGGTCAACACCCGGATTACTCTGATATCTTCCTAATACTCCAACAACATATGATATGTCAGGCCTGTTGCAAAACTGAGCATACATAAGACTTTCGACTGCTGAAGCATAAGAGATATTTCTCATGCGTTCCCTTTCAAAATTATTTTTCGGACACTGACTCAAATCGAGTCTGTCACCCTTCACAATAGGAGCTACACTCGGTGAATAATCTTTCATATTAAATCTTTCTAGAATTTTCTTGATATAGGCTTCTTGAGACAAACCCAAAATGCCTCGATTTCTATCTCTATGGATCTTAATGCCAATGATATAAAATGTTTCTCCCATATCTTTCATATCAAAGTTCGTTGAGAGAAATTGTTTCACCTCATATAACATCCATTTATCATTAGTTGTAAGCAAAATATCATCCACGTACAACATAATGAAGAAAATACGACTCCCACTAACCTTCTGATATATACAGTGATTCATGATGTTTTCTTCAAAGCCGAATGAAAAGATAACATCATGAAATTTCAAATAACATTCGCGGGAGGCTTGCTTCACTCTATATATGGATTTATTAAGCTTCCATTATAAATTTTCTCACATTCCTCCATCAATAGTCTCTCCTCCACTTGAACACACATGGTCATCAATTCATTGATGAACCATTTATTTTTATGTGTGTTGTAGGATATCTTAAATGGACCGTATTGATGAGGTAAAGTGCACAAAATATAATGGACAAGCAATGAATCAGACATGGTCACCTCTAAGCTTACAGCTGCGCCGCAATGTCCCGCATGCGCATTATGTGCTCGCTTACACCCCTCACACCTGTGAATCTCATGGTAGAGAACTGAATGATCAATGTATTGGCAAGAACCTTATCAGACTCAACGAATTGTTTACCAATAGCCTTCAAAAGCTCTCTGACATTACTATGTTGATTGACAGACGCACGGATACCAGTAGAGATCTTGGTCTTTATGAGCATCATGGAAAGACGGTTAGATCTCTCTCATCGCTCATAAAGATCCATATCATCTGGCTCGCTGGTTTCAGTAATAACCAGCGGCTCGTATTTCCGAATAGTATAATCAATGTCCATCCAACCTAAATGAAGGAGAATCCTCTCCTTCCAGATTTTGTAATTATCACCAGTCAATTCGGGGATATCACACGTAATGTCAGAGAAATTCATACGATTAAACACTGCAAAATTAAATATACATGTTCATCAATAAACGAGACAAATAAATTACATATTCTACTAATGTAAACATGTTAAGACATGAATCTAAAGACATGTTAAAAATACATTATATAAATTCTATACTAAAAATTAATTAAATTTATTGAAAATTATAAATATAATGAACTAATCAATAATTAGGCCATCCACAACACAGAAACCCATCCAGGGTTTCTTCCCATTCTCTCTCCTGTGCCACGTCAGTTTCTCTCTCCGCCACGTCACGAAGAACTCCAACTATATTTTACATTCACATCAAAGAACTCTTTAAAATCTTTACTTTTTCCACCTCATTAAATATTTTATCTATTTATAAAATAAACTTATATTTTTTCATTATATTTTATTCTTATAATATTTAATTAAAATAAAATAATTATTTAGCATAAATAAATAAAATAAATAAAAATAATAATTCCACACCCACATACTATAGTTATTAACAATATTATTTTAATAAAAAAATAAATATTAAATAAAACTCATATAATAAAATTTAAAATCTAATATTTTAATAAAACAAATTATTATAAATATAAATAAAAAAGTATATATTATAAATATTATTTTTAATATTTATTGAATAAAAAAGTGGACCATGGCCCACAAAAATTGGAAGAAACGGTACACTCGCAATGTATCGTTTCTTATGTTAATTGGTGTTTTAATTTTTTTTATTATTTAATAAATGATGACGTGGGAGGCGCTTCTCAACAAGCGTCTCCCGTTGTGGATGCCCTTAACAATAGAAATATATATACACGAAAAACTTATTATTTTATATTTTACATTATTTTCAATTGAAAAAACTATTTATATTTTTCAATAAAAATATATTTTTTTTAAATATAACTATAATAAAAATAAACATTATTTTATAACACTTTTACAAAAATCTAAATTCAAAAGAATACAATTGAATATATCATAAATAAAATAAAATAGAAATATCTTTAATTGTCATTTTACGTATAAACAGCTAATATCAAACAATTATTTCATCAAATATTTTAATACGAACAACTAATCGAATCAGTTAATTGAATAAGCTAACAACTATCAGCTAATTAAATCATCTAACAGTTAACTGGTGTCAACTAATTACCAAACACGCTCTAACTCCAATACTTTATTATAAAAACTGACGACAAGTACCATAAACATTGAAAAATTATTCAACTTTCTAAAAGAAGATATATTTAATAGTATCAATTTTTTATTTGATATATTATATTCACGATTTATTTTATATTCAAAATAATATATTCAGCCTACATAGTTTGATTCAAAATGGTTAACCTAATCTTCTAATATTTACTATTTTAAAAACAATTCAAAATAACAAAATAATTTGAAAACAATACATTTTGCCCACCATTGAATCCTTTATTTAAAGGGTCAAGTGGTCCACTGTTTGACTCGTTTTTTCACATTTGAAAATTAGTGTGTTTTTTTTGGATTTTATTTTTTTACACACGTTTCTTTCTCTTTTTTTTTTTCCTTTTTTTTTTTATAAAATTAATATATTATATGTATTCATTATTTTATATTATCTACCTTATATTTATTATTTTATATAAAAAATATTTCTTAAAACTATTTTACAGTACAAATATATTCATAGTTAATTTATATTTATTTGATATTTAATTTTAATGTATTTACTAAATAATTTGCAATTTTTTACAATAGTAATACTCCCTCTGTCCACACATAAAATATATAATTACTTTTGACACGATATTTAACAAATAATAATATTTTAATTATAGTAATTAGTTAAAAATAGCGATATAAATTCAAAATTTTATTAAAAAAATAAATTGTTTGATGTATTTTTATTAAAAATGATTCTAAATAATCTTTTTTTATACCATTTAATCATAATTAAATATATATATATATATATATATATATATATAACACACTTCCGGGATGTAGAGTATTATTACAAGTGTTTTGTCTAGTCAGAAAACCAATAAAATTACAACACAAGTACAATCATGCAAAAGACTCTAACCCCTTTATTGCCTTTTAATCTGTGAATAATATACAATTACAAAGTGCAATAATTTCTTTCATCCTTCCCATGAAGACCAAAACAATCCAAGTCAACTCATCATCCCACCGTTGATCTTATGGGTCCTACAAAACCCAATCTATTCATACTCTCTCGTCTTTTCCCCGTATTTTCCTTCAAAAATAATCTCTCCACTTTTGATTGCTCGATCTGAAAATCTCGCCGGAATATTCCCCGACGGTGGTTATGGCGGCCGAATCTTCCAAGCCGATCCAGGAAGTGCTGTCGTTCCCAATCCTGTTCGCCGACCGCGTCATCAAATCGGCGCGCGAAGCCGAGTCGTTCAAGCCGGAGAACTCCGAGCTGGCGCGCCAAGCCACGGCGCTGTCGCAGCTCCTCCGCTCAGCCGCGCTCCTCACCTCCGCCTCCGCCGCCGTCTACGACCGCCCCATCCGCCGCATGTCCGTCGACGTGACGAAAACCCTCGACCGCGCCCTCACCCTCGCCCGCAAGTGCCGCCACCGCCGCACCAACGTCCTCCACCACGTCCTCTCCATCACCACCGCCGCCGACTTCAAGAAGGTCTCGAACCTTCTAGACTCTTCCCTCGCCGATGTCCGGTGGGTCCTCTCCATCTTCCGTACAGATTCCGACAACGGAACCATCACTCTGACCCTCCCTCCCTTCGCCAGCACCGACCCCATCCTCGCCTGGGTCTGGGCCTGCGTCGCCGCCGTCCACTCCGGCCGCGCCGACGCCGCCCGCCAGTTGGCCGTCTTGGCCGCCGGCAACGACCGGACCAAAACAATCGCCGTCGAGGAGAACGGAATCCCTCCCCTGCTCAAAATGCTCAAAGAATCCGGCAATGTCGATGCCCAGAGCGCCGCCGCAACGGCCCTCTGCAACCTCGCCGATCACCACCGCGCCGCCATCGAAACGATCGTGGACGCCGGAGGCGTTCACGTCATCGTTAAAGCGCTGGCGGAAGTTCCGATGGCGGCTCAGGTGACGCTCGTGAATCTAATCTCGAGGATGTTAGAATCCGACGCCGAATGCCGCGACGAATTCGGCAAGGAGAACGTCACTCTCCCGTTGGTTCAGCTTTTGTGCGTCGACGTCGATTTGGGCGACTTCAAGGAGTTGAATAACAACTTGCATTCGCTCGTCGAGGTCAATAAAACGATGATGAAATTAAACGGCATCCATATCCTCGACGGCAGTAAGCACCAATGTAATAAAAAAGACAAAGACCGTGAGTCCGAGCCTCCCGAGATTCGCCTCGCGTTGAAAGAGAGCTGCGCGTCGGCGTTATGGAGGTTAGCAAGGGGGAGTTCCTCGAACAGCAAAAAGATCACCGAGACAAAAGCGTTGCTAGTGTTAGCGAAGATCGTTGACATGGAGAACACAGCCGATTTGAAAAAAAATTGTATGAAAGTAGTGATGGAATTGGCCGCCGTAGCCGAGCGCGACTCCGAGCTAAAACGCGCAGCGTTCAAGCCAAGTTCGACGGCTACAAAGGTTGTCCTAGACCAGCTACTACGGGTAATCGACGAGGAATCCGATCCAGCCCTCGTCGTTCCGGCCGTAATGGCCATCGGGTGCTTAGCGACGATGTTCTCCGCGAAGGAAAAACGGATCGTAAAATCGTTAGTCGCGCAGCTGGGCAACCGGCAGCCGGATGTCGCGGCGGAAGCCACGAAAGCTCTCTGCAAGTTCGTGCGCGACACGAATTATAACCGGAAGGCGCATTCGGAGGCGATCATCGAGTTCGGAGGGGTCCCGAAGATAATGAACTTGATGAGGAGGAACGATCGGAGCCATTTGCACGAGCTCGTACTGCTCTGCAACCTCGCGACGAACGCCGGGGACAGTAAGGTGCTCGAGCAGGCACACGCGCTGGTGGTGCTCGAGGGCGCGGCGCGTCACGCCGTGGCGCAGAATCCGGCGTTGAGAGAGCTCTTCACTAAGGCTATTCATCAGCTCACTATCTATCAGGCCGGAGCTCATGTACATAGACAAGTCTAAGCTCGGAATCGAACCGATCGATCGATCAATTGAAGCTATTTTTATGTGTCGAACGTCGAAGTTCTTGTGTATATATGCAATTTTTCGAATTTACCGTAGTTTTAGGCTCAAAAGAACGTTCATAAACTGTTAAGAAGGGATCCCAAGTTCTAACCTTAGACCAATTGGTGATAGGTGGAGTAGCCTTGACTCTGATCCTTATAACCCAAGGAAGTTCTGACATTTTTTCCAATGTGGGATATATTGATCACTTCTCATAATCTCGAAAATTCAAATAGGATCAATACTCAATACGGACATCATGGCTCTGATACCATGTTAAGAAGGGTATCCATGCAGGAAATGTTAACCTTGCGACGAAGAGCGGTTGGCGACGTGAAAGTTCTTGCTTCGGAAGCTCCCATTGTTGTCGAGCGAAGTGAAGAAGCGCTTTTGTTCGCCTTCGCTGCTGAACGCGACTCGAACTTGGAGGCCCTCGTTCCCGTAGCTCTCTTGTTCCTCGAGCATTTTCATCACGGAAATGGCTAAACTCGCGCTACAACAACCGAGCTCGACGGATTGGAGAGTCGGTATATCTCCGATTTCTGAAGGGATCTCTTCCAAACTTGGAATGTAGCCAAAGTCAAGATTCTGCAGGACGGGAAAATGCGAGCTGTCAACGTTCCAACAGGTCAGTTCGAGACAGGCGTAGATTTCAAGCATTTTCAGGCACTGGAATTGCTCCTCGACCGGATGCCACTCGTCTCCTCGGACAGTGTCTTCGAGCACAAGCACTTCAAGACAGGGCAACGGGCCGATCGTTGTCAAATCGTTCCAACAGAGCGCGCAACTTCTCAATGTCAGCTTCTTGAGCGAACTCGGGAATGCAACAGTCAGGAACAAATCCCGTCTCCGGGCAAGATCGATGCACGATGAGACATACAGAGTTTCGAGTGTTTGAAGCTGATCGAGTTTGTTGAGACAAAAGTGTTCGACCGCTGTGGATTCGACTAGACTTTCGTCGTACCTAATCTTCAGCTTCTTGACGCCCGGTATTTGCCTAACGATCTCTTCGCCACACTTGAAATTCACCACATTCGACAGCGTTTGTAGGTTCCTCAAAATGTCGCGACGTGGAGGAGGATCCGGGAGATGGATGCCGTGGAATTCGACATGTTTGAGCTTTTGCATCTCCCAAATCTCCGGCGGGGCGAAGCAGAGAAACTTCGTTCGACAAATCAACGTCTGCAAGTTCCATAGTCGATGGATAGTCGACGGGAGGTTGAAAATCCAAGTGTACCGGCAGTTATACGAAATGTATCGAAGATTCAAATGCTTCGAAACATCCCGCACATACTCTAGGTCGACGTTTTCCAAAACTCTCAGCAACTTACTCCTCAACGGAAGCTTGCCTCCTTCGCAAATAAGGGATCGAACAACGCGCGCCGAATCCATTGTACGTACAACCCGAGGACAATCTCGACGACTCGAGATTCTCTCATGGATCACGACGCGATGTTTTCGATTCACGCCGATAGAGTTATCGTCGGTCTCGGTCTCGCTCACGACGTGCAAAAACTTCTCTTTCCGAGCGACCCTTAAGCATAACTCTCGTAAAAGATCGTGAACGTAGCAAGTTTTGATTTTGCCGTCGAACTTCCATCTCCGGACTAAAACGAGATTCCTATCGACAAGATCCTTCAAGTAGCCTCTCGCAACGTCTTCGAACCTTCTAGATTCTTCCGGTTTCAAAAACCCCTCGGCGTCCCATAGCATGACGAGCCGAGACACGTGGATTTCAGAGTCCTCCAAATAGATTCCCATGTAAAGAAAACACGGCTTGAGATGAACGGGCAAATGGTTATAACTCAACGACAATATATCCAAGAAATGCTCGTCGCCCTCGGAATTCAAAACCGAGTTTATATCGCTAGCGACGCGCCCCCAATGCTCGACTGTCCTACGAGACTTCGCCAAAAGACCTCCGATCACGACGATCGTGAGAGGAAGCCCTTTACATTTCTCGACAATTTTTCGCCCAATCGCCTCGAGCTCGATAGGACAAATGAAACCTTCGTCGTCGACGAATGTGGTTTCGCAAAATAGCCTCCAACTCTTATCCTCATCGAGGAAATTCATCTCGTGTGACGAATGGCCAAGATCGGCCGCCACATTCGCGAGACGAGTAGTTACAATTACTCGGCCCGTCGAGCCTCCGACCTCCGGGAAGAACCGCCGGAGGCTATCCCAAACATCGGCGCTCCACATGTCGTCAATTACGACGAAATATCGCCGACCGAATAAGCTCTTGTGCAATGCCTGTCCTAATTCGTCATCGGTTAGTACAACATCGTCGTTATTGCCGTCGGCGAGATGTGGTTGAGGCAAGTTTAGGACCTCATCGGCTTTCTCGAGCTTCTTCTTGTCAATGGCGTCCCGGCAGGCCGGAATCTGCATTAGGACATCTCTGAAATTGAATTTCTGAGAAATCAGAACCCAAATTCGGACATCGAAGTGGTGTTTGATGAGAGGATTTTCGTACAGAGCTTTGGCGAGGGTAGTCTTACCGATGCCGCCCATCCCGACGACAGGGATGACCTGGCGAGCCGAGCCGTGAGCCGATACGAGCCGATCGAGGATCGGCGCCAAGTCGTCGTTATCCAGACCTACAGCGGAGAACTTTCTGGCAATCGTCGCGGCGGATCTGACCGGGGGCGGCTGTTGCTGCTGATCGTTGATTTCGGCTGTGTCGTGGATCTGCAGAGAGTTCTGGATCGAATTTAGGTGGTCAATGGCTTTTTTGAGTTTGGTAGAGAAGATGAATTTGTTCCAGTAGCCGGCGAGGGGGGCGCCGGAAAGTTCGTCGACGGCGCGGGATTCGATTAGGTCTTCGGCCGTGCTAGCGGCGGCGGCGATCGTTGGTTCGAGGGCGGCGGAGGAATGGGTTTGGAGGAAATGGTGGAGGAATCGGGCGGTGTGGAGGAGGGATTGGATTTGGTTGTTGGGGAAGGCGGCGGAAAGGCGAGGATGGGTTTGGATGCGCGATGCAGTGTCGGCAAGAGAGATCACCGCCGCGTAAGCTGCCATTTCCGATCGAGGGGAAAAATGAAGATGAAGACGAAGACGAAGACGGAAGATCAATCCAAATCCAAGCAAGGACTCAGCAGCAGCCATTTCTGGTTGGGGTTTGTATTTTTAAATTTGAAAGTGTTTGTTTTAGTTTTTTTTATTTGAAATTTTTTTCTCTTACTAATATAAAAAAACAATATTTTATTTTAAATATTCTCTCCTTCCACTAAAATTAGAGCACTTGGTCCGGCAAGCGGAGTTTAACAAAAATAAATATTTTATTGAAAATATGACAAGTAATTACGAGTATTTTTAAAAATTTAGTTAAAAATGAAAATAAACAAAAAGATAATGTAATAAATTTAATGGTATTTGTTATAAATAAGTGTTGAATATAAAATAATAATTAAAAGTTGATAAATTTATTGGACTTAAAAAGTATTAATTTTGTCCAAAAATAAAATTTATATTAAAAATTATGTAAATACAAATTTTGGACAAACTAATCCTTTATGGTCTTTAGGTTTTGAATTCACAAGAATTCATCCCGAACTCATTTCCATACTATTGAATCATTTTTTACTAAAGGATTTTAGGTTTTGTATATACAGCATTCATCTTATTGTAAAGGATTATGATTAATGATCGAATGACAAACGAAAACGTAAAGAAGACACGTATTTACATAGTTGACTGAGGGTATGTTTGTTTGGAGGTTTAGATTTTGAGTTGCGATTTGAACAATAAAAATTTTGAATTGGAATAGTGGTATAATGTGATATAATAGGTGTCGATATGATGTTTTGAATGTAAAATTGTTCTTTTAGAATAATATAGAAAATAAAAAATAAATATTTGATTTAATATTTTTGAAAAAAAAATTTAGAAGAATAGTAAATTTTTTTGCAAAATCCCTCGAACAAACACACCCTAAGGATATGTTAGTTATGTCTACGGGCCAATTTCTGATACAAATTAATTTAGATTGCATATGTCTAAATCTATTCAAATAATCGAAAAGAATTACATCAAACGGGTCAACTTAATATGAATTCAAAAGTCCAGTGCTGCTTACTCCTCCTAAAACTACAACACAAACTAAATTTAAAGAATATCTTAACACAATTTTTGTGTAAATATTTTTATTTTTATTTTATTCAGGTTATCTAAAATATATCAAAAGAGAATTTGACAATAATATTATTTTTTATTAAAAAACATTTCAGATTTACATATTATTACTAGAATCAAAAGTCTATGGACAAAGGTAATACAAAATGAATATATTCAAATAATAATTAATTGATCTAGTATACTTCATCCGTCCCGTTGGAAGGGTGGCGTTTATTTTTTTGCACGTAAATTTTTAAATATTAGTATTATATTGGATTGTAGTAAAAACGATAAAAATATCCCTATTACTATGGTTTAATATAAAAGCAACGACATTTGTATAATATATTATAAGTTGAAAAGATATTTATTATGTGAAGTAGGTAGTATAATTACTAAATTAAAAAATAATAACTTTGTTTTGAGACGAACGAAAATGAAAAATAGTAATTTTTCAATAGGACGGATGGAGTACATTAATTATAGTAACTAATATATAATCTTAATAATGTTAGCAAAAACTTAAAATATATAACAACAATTCTTATAGTCTTATGAATAATATATATATATATATATATTATGTCGTGAGTGTTATATTTTATTTTCACTTAACTGTAAATAAAATTACCAATGTAGTTCAAAAATAAAAATAAATAAGTAATCACTTACAATAGAAAATTAAAGTTTGTTTGGTTTGTATTTAAGTTTAAATTCTTTTTGTTTGAATTTGAATTTAAATATAATTTTAATATTAATTTTTATGTTAGAAAATAATATATTTATCTTAAATGATACCAAAAAAATTAGTTGAAGTATAAACTAAAAAAACCCTTTAATATTTTTCTCAAAAATATATCATGGACTATTTTATCAAATTGGACAGGTTCACTTGAGTTGGGCTTTATAAATAAAATTGAAATCTACTCCAAACTCAAAACAAAATTTAATACTTAAAATTCAAAAATTGAATATATATACACATAACTTCAATAAGCCATTTTAGAGAAATTTCCTAAAATTTATTTCAGGTTCTTTTTCATTTGTTAAAAATATTTTTGTTCTTACTAATCCAAGATGAACAACACAAATTCCCATAAAAATATCCCGAATTTAACGAAAACTTAAAAGAATATTTTATTATTAGGGAAGCAATCTACTCAGATTCAGTTTTACCCACCTATCAAACAACCACATAGAACATACATCCAAGACCCAAGCTACAAATGACTCGCCACGGAATCACAACTAACACACAAACTCGAACCTTAATCTAAGGAAACACATCAATTTCAAGCCTATTACACCGCAAACAACATATACATCGCGAGACAAAAATAAAGGCACAAATCGATTAAATCAAACTGTAAAAACATCAAGGGGGAAGGTGCGCGTCGAAGGAGAGGGAGAGCTTCTCAAATCGCCTGACAAAATCATCGGAGAACACATCACGACATGGAAGGAATCGCCTAGGGCTGGAAGTGAGAAAAATCGCCATCCCCTTTCTTCCGTTCTCTATCTCAATAAATGAATGAACCAGTTCAGGGCAACAAAATATATATATAAAGCATACCGGTTCAAAGCCATAAACCGACGGGTCTCTCAGAGATTGGTCGGGCAGTTGGTTGCCGGATCCGGTCTTCAATTTAAGCGGATCGATTGTATTTGTATTGAGTCTCTTTAATTCGTTAGCCCCAAACTTCACAAATTTTTTACTAAACAACATCTAGGCTTATGATAAAGGATTTTACATTCAATAATTATTTTATCTATAAAACTACACAGACGAGTTAAAACTAAAAACTAAAAAAGAATGCACCTTTACCATCTTCAAACTTACAAGTTACAAATGATAAATATTTTGATTTAAAAAAAAAAAAAAATCAATTCTAGAAAAAGTTTATATTTCAAAAGGTCTGTTTACATTTTTATCTATTTTCTTACTATTAAATATATAAATTTCTTAAAAAAATACATATCAATATCTATTTTTATTAAGACTTTACATTTAAAAATTATTTCAATTAAAATACTAATAATTTTGAAAAAAAAAAAAAACAAAAAGAAAAGAAAAAGAAAAAATAAAGAACTCTTTGACATTGAAATAATTTTTATATATTTATTTTAGAGATTTAAGTTTTTTATTTAAATATTCTTTGGAGAAAATAGAGTGAGTTTAAAATTTAAGGAAATTTTAAAATAATTTTTTTTATAAAAATAGAAAAATTAGTTTGAAGATGGCATAAAAAATCACCAACTATCTTTTAAAGAAAATAAAGCATTTAAAACCATATTTATAATCAAAATATATGTAAATTAATTCATTGTCACTCAATTTTGAGTTTTGATTAATTAATTAATTAAAGGGTTTAATCATATTTTTTTAATACAAATTTTTTGGTTTTCTTTTCAAACAAAATATTATTTTGGCGTAAATATTTTTTTTTATAGAAAATTAAAAAATAAATAGTAACAACATAATTAATCAAACTGAAGTTAAATTTTTTTTTTTTATGAATTGAACTCAAATAAAATAAAAATTTTATTTTATACAATAAATTAATAAATACAAGTCGAGTTCAATTAGGAGAGAGACAGATAGAGGGAATTAATTTTGAGTCGTTACCATCATTTTTTATTTTTTATTTAATGAAATTTGTGTAACAATTATTGATGTGTTCATCTATAATCAATTAAATAAATATATATTGATTTATTTAAATCTTTGTGTTAGAATCGTAATATTTAATATAATATATTTTACATATTATTCAATAGAGATATCTCTTATAGTTCGTCAACTTTTACGTAATCCAACAAATAGTTCATATAACATATATTACAATTGATCTGATGCCGTTGTATATCAACACAGTTGTGAAATGACAACATATAGAAATAATTCCCAGAAAAATTTAATTAAAACTATGTATTAGAAAATAATTGTTCATATTTTAATTAGAGCTAATCAACACTATCGTTATAAAATAAATTAGCGTACGAACGCATTTAATACCGCCAGAACGGAGGATGGATGAAAAAGTACAATGATAGAAGTATCAAATTAATAGATTAGAATTGATGTTAGAGCATTCACACCAATTGGGGAACTTAAATTAGATGTTAACATTACATAAAAATGTCGAAGTATTTTCGAATTCAAGAAATGCTAGCAATACGCACGCCGTGGCTTTGAAGATAGTACGTTTATTACATCAACGTTGAGGGAGGGAGTGTTGCATTAATTGTTAGTATACGACATCGATGATTAGTTAGCTAGAGATTGAAAGTATGAAGCACAAGAAAAACAATGGTTTGATGGCTCGACTCATTACATGTTTGATGTGTCGTCATTTGAAGTATTAAGCGAGTTTTTTTTTTTTTTTTTTTTTTTTAAGAAAAACTAATTCGATATAACTTGTTGATATATTTTGATAAATTTTGGAGGATGATGATTCAATCATTCGATGATTTCCCTTGAGGGTGAATTTGTGCTTGTTTCATAATTTATTGTAATATATTTTTTTCTTATTTTTAAAAATGAACTAAAATATTTCATTTATTTGTTATCAATATATTTGTTTGACTAGTTTGTTCAAGATTAATATATTTATTTACTAATTTAGTAAATGTGTTTAGCTAAATGCTAATAAAATATGTTTATATTCTACTTAAATTACAACTATATCAAAGGATGTTAGTTAATGTTACTTAAATTTTTCTTTCTTCTTCTGTCCTACCTATCATGTTCACATTGTCGTTTCTATTTGTCCCACATCTCATATCACTTTCGTTTTTTTTTAAAGTGATTACACACCTTAGTCTCATTTTAAATATTCTAATTTAATTTTTTTTATTTTAATTAAAATAATTACTTATCTTAATTTTAATTTATAATTATTTATGTTATAGGATAATTATTTTTACTAATATATTCTTAATTATTTACTAGTTATACTTATCCTAAATTTCGGTCTGATATCCAATATGGAATGGAGGGAGTATTATTTAATCTACATACACAAAATAAATGGGTACATACATTTAGGAGAAAGTGTAAAAATTTATGCAATTGATCATAATTTGGAAGGTGTATTTGAAAATTAACGAATTATTATTTAATTGTAAAGTGAATTATAATTTAATATATATTTAAGTAAAAATATATTTAGAATATTGTAAGAACTAGGAGTGAATGAAATGTTTTACTACAAATATATTATACTTGAATTTAACAAACTATTCAAGAAAAATTGTCTCCTCATGATATATGAATATCACTAACATGATAATCTTATTATTTAAAAAAAAATAAAAAATAAAATTGTACATGTTTATTCACTTAACATTTATTTTTAAAATATTTACTATTCAATACTGAAATATATTAATTTTATTTTACAAAATAGTACATTCAAATTACTATTTAAACAAAAAAATTGCCAACTAAACATAACTTTGTGAACCCCTAGAGATTCTTCTTCAAATTGAACATTCTCAATGAGTATATGAAAGGGGTTTAGGGTTTAGGGATGATCAATATATATTTATAATACATCATATATGATATTATAACTCAATATATACTATATCTTATAGACAACATATGTTGAAATATGTATAAGTATACGTTGATCGCTCATATGGTATATGCTGATCCGATCAAATCAACATCATGCTGACTTGGCCGGATCAAAACAAGATCTGCAACGGATTAGATGTGAATGTTATCCAATTCGATTTACAAGCTATTACATCGGTCGAAATCTTGGAGGTTTTCCGACAGCGATGGCAATGAGAATTGATCAAATTCATCGCCTCCAAGATTCATCATAAGGTTGTCTTCTTCCCAAGAACATTCTTTCACTCCACTCGTTGTCGCCGAATTCATATATCCCGAGATGTCCGAACACTCCGCCCCCGCGTCTTCCTCGCCCCCGACAACATTATCGTTCTTTGAAAGCGAGCTACCACCATTGTCAAAGGACAGATAATGCCTCGGCAAGCCGCGCCGACACTGATCTTCGAGTTCCGACAAAATTAGGCTGCTGTTGTAACATTCTTTCGCCCCAAAATGGTCCCTCGATGCTGCCGCCGCCGCTGCCGCCAAATCTCCGGCGATCGGGCGGTGGGTGGCCGGGTCAATCCCTTTACTCATTAGCTTCTTCTTGAGGCTCGAATTCCAGTAATTCTTGATCTCGTTGTCCGTTCTTCCCGGCAGGTGCGTCGCAATCTGTGCCCACCTGCCCGAATTCAGTCAGTCAGCCAGTCGATCAAGAAAATTAAAATTAGAACACCAGATGTACGGACATCATTAAATTATTCGAAAATCGAACAAACCTGTTTCCGAGAGAATGATGCAGAGAGAGAATAAGATCTTCTTCCTCCTGAGAAAACATTCCTCTTTTCAAATCAGGCCTCAGGTAATTAATCCACCTCAGCCTGCAACTCTTCCCACATCTCTGCAAACCTTAAAAAATCCACAAACAAACACCAACAATCAATCATCACATATATATATATATCTAGAGAGAGAGAGAGAGAGAGAGAGAAGACCTGCTAATTTGGGGACAGAGCTCCAGCTGCCGACGCCGTGTCGGGAAATGTGGGTGAAGAGCTTCTCGTCTTCCTCCGGCGACCAAAGACCTTTCCGAAGCTTTTTCTGGTGACCCATTTTTTTCACAGCAATGGTTTTGGTCCTAATCTTGTTGATCTTTTATTTATTTATTTATCTATTTTTTTTAAAAAAAAAAAGAATTTTGATGTTTATGGAGATATCAGATCAGATGAGATTAGGAGCAGTGATAATTATCATATATAATAATGCTTACAAGTGAAGCCACAATATATATATATATATATATATTTATGTGTGTGTGTATATAAGAGGTGGTTTAATTAATTTCTAAGCAAATTGTGAGGCTGCTTTTAAGGGATTTTTAGGACAATTTTTGGGCCTTAATAATTAGATATATATTAATTAGAGGGTGATTGATTGGTGAGGTAAATTACTAAATGGGTAATGTATGGTTTTGTTCTCTTTATTTAATAATTTGAAAATTATTTTAAATTTAATGTTACGAAAGAAAATTATGTATTTTTATAACAAATTGTATAATTAAAAAACAGAGGGTATAGTGTCCTCTGGACCATTTTGTCCAATTCAGTCCTCGTGGAAATTTTATGCTCGTTTATTTATTTATTCTATCTATCGCTCCGTAAGACTGATATTATTTTTTTATTTATATTCGTTTAAAAAATAAGAGTATTATTTTTTAACGTAATAAATACCTTTATAATTTACAATATATTACACAAATATTATCACTTTTATAATACATCATACTAATAGGAGCATTTTTATCGTTTTTACTACAAACTAATATAATATTAATATTAAAAAGATTTACATGCAAAAAGCAAACAATATTTTATCGCAGGTGCGAGAGAATATTTGCTTTTGTGAATTGATCTTTGGAGCTCACCGACACACAATATGTATCACAAATAGCAATGGGCCTACCAAATATATATATATTTTTTAAAATAAAAAATAAAAATATTTTAATTAAGGGAATTTTTATTTCAAATATTTATACATGTGTTTGTTTTGTGAGAATGTTGAAAAACAATTTTTTTTGTGAAATATAAAAAATTGTGTAGAAAATATTAAAATGGTAAATATGTATAATACATTAATATTTTTGAAAAAAATATGAAAGAAAAAAAAAAGATTAAAAGAACAAAGCCCGCGTACAAAATTAACATGTTTGCATTGTAATTTAATTTTTTAAAATATAGTTTAATATATAATATATTTACATTGTTAGTATATATTTATATATATTATTATTATTGTATATTTAGATATTGACTATATTGCCCCTCTTGTATTTATATGTGTTAATTTGGAATGAAATTAGATAAGTTTTTTCTTACCAAAATTAACATACATTATGAATGATGCATATATATTTTATTCATAGTTCAACACTATAGTATCTTATTTTCTTTTATAATTTATGTAGTAAAACTAGCATTTTTATCTTCTTTTAGTAATTATCATTCGATTAAAAATCTCACCTTATAAATTTAATATGAATTGAATAAATTGATTTTCAGTAAGTCTTTTAAATTCTTGAATTGAAATGGATGACATATTTTTAGAAATTATCTTTTTCTTTTGTCATAGTAATCTTATATTAACATCCAAATACTTCTAATTTTATATATAAATTTCAAATAACAAGATTTTAAAAAATCTTCTTACAAACTTCTGCTCATAATAATTGTTTTTTAATCTATTATAAAATAATACTCCCTCCGTCCAGCTAAAAAATATACATATTTCTATTTTGAAATGTCCAATTACAAAGTAAACATTTAATCAAATACCTTACTTTTTTTTCCACAAAGTAAGGGCAAAAATGTCATTACACTACTTTTAACTACTCGCTATAATTAAAATACTATTATTTCTTAAACATCACTCTAAAAGTAATTGTATACTTTATGCATGGACGGAGGGAGTTTAACTTTATACATTTAACTGGAGAGATATGAAATATTAATTTGTATTAAACTACAAAAGGATGCAAATTTTGATGAGCAATATTGAATTTTGGATGTGTGGGGTTTCTTCCTAATTTAATACTCCCTCCGTAGAGCTTTTTGTTAGGAACACAGTATTTTAGATATTATAGGTTATTAAGTTATTAATAATAAGTTAGGATAATATTTTATTATTTTTTATATATGTAGTGTAGTTGGTATTTTAAATATTTTTACAATTATATGTCAATAGAATATATGCAATATGAATATCATTTTGTAGACAATAAAGTTTTATATAATAAAAATGAATAAAAAATATATATTTATTTATTTATCATTAGCATAAATTAATTTTATAAAAAATGAAGAGTTTTAAAGGTAAATAAATATATTTGTTAATTGAGAAGAAATATAAAAATAAAGAGGTTTTTAGTGCGTCATACGTGTAAGATGTTAGAAGTTTAATTAAATTTATTTATATTTGTTAAGTATATTTAAGATTGATAAAGTTGCCAAAAATAAAAATGAATCTATCTTTTGTGAAACGTACTAAAAAAGAAATTGGATCATCTGTGGTGAGATCCGACGGAGAATTTTAGATATAAAAATGGAAAAAAAAGTATTCAATGATTTGGATGAATTGCTGTTTGGGATTACACAGTTAAAGTAATGTAATAAGGACTGAAGTCGATCGTGTTATTGTTTGGATTTTACTGATTTTTACGCATTAGTAGTATTTAATTTGGAAAAAAGATTATATTCCATCCAAACAGGGCACTACTCTATAAAAATCGTACAATCATTTGGTAATATATATATCACCGACACCAATGCTGGTTGTGATCACTATGCTTATTTTTTCAAATTTGCTTTCTTAATTATTCTCTTTGTCATATATAAATATCGAGAAAATTGCAAAAAAATATTCCACACGTATACCTCATCATCACTTTTGTCCTATATTTATTTCTCTGACAAAATATATCTCACATGTTTTCAAAAGTCGCTATTTCTATACTTTGACCGCGCGTGGTAAGGGCGCGTGGTGTGAATTTCACGCGCGAGAAAAGGACATAAATAACGACTTTTGTAAGCATGTGAGATATATTTTGCCAGGGAGATAAATACAGGACAAAAGTGATAATAGGGTATAAGTGTGGGATATTTTTTACAATTTACTCTATAAATATCATATCAATATTGTCGATTTTGTCAATTATATATATAAAGCTATACATTTTAATCTTATTTTAATTTTATTTTTTGTATTTTAATTAAAATAAGTAATTAAATTATATTAATTTTAATTTATAATTATAATTAATACTGTAGAATAATTATTTTTATTAATATATTTTAATTATTTATTAATTATATATATATTCTATATTCTCACATAAATAGTCATCCGAATATGATAGCCGAGACAGACGAAGCTTTTATATAAAAAAAATCTTCATTCTTCCATTGAAAAAAATATACATTTTCTTTTTTCATTCACTCAAATATATAGTATAATTTATTTTTTAGTATATGCTAGTGTTACAGTATTTTTAAAATTATAATTATTTACATCAATATGATTATATCAAATTAAAATGCAACGGCAAAGACATCTTTACAAAAATATATTCGCCAACATTATTTAAAACTAGTATTTTAAAATTTTGCACCAAAATTGAAGGGGAAAAATATTTTTGGTACTATTATAAATCATAATTATCAATTTTAGTTCATTGATTTATTATTATTATTATTATTATTTTTAAAATTGATCTCATTCAAATTAAAATTAATCAATTTAAGTTCGATAGTAGCGGACACAAACTGAACACGATCATATTAACTTGAACGTATTTATCCTAAGGTTTATTTTAATATTCAAATAGTAATTTGATTTAATATTTTATCACGTGAAATAGTATATTTTTATGCACTGAATAATTATATAATTTTAAAAACTCCAAAAGAAGCATTTTGCACTATTCATTTTTTTTTTTCTTAATATATTATACAAAATATTACATAATATTTATATCACATTAAATATTTATTATCTATTAATTTTTATTTTTTTTTATTATTTTCAAATTAACCTAAAACTCAATTTTATTTTATTTTTTAAGATATATGTAAAGCCAACCTTGATAATGCATGTACAAAAGCAATGAAATTAATAATAATGAATTGGTTTTGAAGTTAAGTTGGAAGGCAATTATGCAACATGATTAATTTAAATAATTCACACCAACTAGAGGTGTCACGACCATCGTGCCATCCTGACCGTCCACGTACTCACTTTATAATGTTTTTAGATTAGATTCGATTGGGGTTTATCGAGTGTGCATTTTCAGGTAGCGATTGCTGATTCTCACGTCATAAAAAAAAAAAATCAATATCTTATTGATTTGAAATATACTCATTCCGTTCCCGCATAGAGGTTTTTTTTTTTTTTTTTTTTCGTAAATTTATTAATGTTAAACATATTTAAAAAAGTATAAATATAAAGATCTATTCAAAATCTTTTATTTTTATTTATCTTTAAAACTTTTTATTTTTTTTATAAAATTAATTTATGATAATGATTAATAAATATAGAAATTTTTTTTTTTATTAGTATTATATAATATTTTATTTTTTACAAAATAATATTCATATGGTATATATTTTATTATCGGGACGGATGGAGTACATATAATTTTTCAATGTAACATGGGGTGTGTTTGTTTGAAGGATTTATAAAGATTTTCACTATTCATCCATTTTTTCCACCAAAAAAACATCAAATGAAACACTTATTATTTATTTTCTATATTATACTAAAATTCAATTTTACATTCAAAACATCACATCAACACCTATTTATATCACATCATACAACTATTCAAATTCAAAATTTTTACTATTCAAATCTCAACTCAAAATCCAAACTCCCAAACAAACACATAATTTATATATTATTTATAGATAGGGTTTATTTCTTTTGATAAGTTTAGAAAATTTTTGATTTGAGTTTAATATTAAAATAATATATGATAAGATGTTTTGTGAGAAGAAAAAATATATTTTATTTTTTTTAAAAAATGCAAAATGTAAATAGTAAAAACTTGAGTTTTTGGTGTAAAGAAAACACCTTTTAAATATATTGCTTATTTTAAAATCCATACAGACATAAGAAAT